GTTTATGAAGTTATAATGAAAAATGATGAATTTGGGTCTTGATTCAATGATTTTGATGTTATTTTGGCGATTTGATCGCACGGATAAGTCCGTAGGATGTTTTTGAGGTTGTGTACATGTTTGGTTTGGAGCCCCGAGGGCTCGGGTGAGTTTTGGATAGGCCACGGGGTGAAATTTTGGACTTAAGGAATTGCAGTTCTGCAGGTTTCGCATTTCCCAAACATTTTTCGCAATTACCGGGATTGTTCGCATTTCCCAAACTTTCTTCGCAATTCCCAGGTTCGCATTTCCCAAACATTTTTCGCAATTCCCAAGCCTGTTCGCATTTCCCAAACTTTCTTCGCAATTCCCATGTTCGCAATTCCCAAGCCTGTTCGCATTTCCCAAACTTTCTTCGCGATTCCCATGTTCGCAATTCCCAAACCATTTTCGCAATTCCCAAGCATGCTGGGTTCGCAATTGCGAACCCATGGTCGCATTTCCCACATCTGAGACCTGCAATTTTTCATACTTAGACGAATTTTAACCCTCTTTTCTTCATTCTTTCAAAACCCAAACTCCATAGGCGATTTTCCAAGAAACCTATCTTCTCCAAATCACTTGTAAGTCAATTTTTACTTAACTTGTTCAATCTTTAACATCATTAGACATGTTTTCATCTTAAAATCAAGGATTTCCATGGGTGAAAATGGGGATTTTGGGTAGAACTTAGGTTTTCTTAAAATTGGGGATTTGGACCTCCATTTGAGGTCCGATTTCAAAACAAAACATAGATATGAACTCGTGGGGGAATGGGTAACCGGGTTTTGGTTCGAACCTCGGGTTTTGACCACGTGGGCCCGGGGGCGTTTTTGGAATTTTTGGGAAAAACTTGGGAAAATCATTTTTATGCATTCAAATTGATTCATATAGTGTATTAAAGTAATTGAACAATTTGTGATTAGATTCGAGCGAATTGGAGGTGAAACCGCGAGGTAAAGCGATAGTTGAGGATTAAGTGGATTTCAAGGCTTTGAGGTAAGTGTTTGGTTTAACCCTATCTTGAGGGAATAGGAGTTGAGTCTTGTTGCTAATTGCTATGTGATCGAGTACGATGTATAGGCATGGTGACGAGTATCTATACATTAGTGTCTAGCATGACCGTGAGTCCTTATAATGTGATTATCATGGCTTGGTTGTGAACTCCGTGTTTATTGGAGGATTTCTATATGTTGTGAATAACATGTGAACGGTGATATGATCATTTGATCCTAGAAGCATTGGCTCGAATTGTGATACGAATATTGAAAGTATATGAAATGACTTGAATCTGTGGAGCGTTGGCTCAAGATGGTAGAGTGGATTATAAGATAAGAAAAGTAAGAAAGAGAAAGCGTTGTTGATTATTCCTTGCCGGGACGTTTGGTTGAACTTGTTGGTTTCTTTCTCTTGCCGGGATTTTTGTCAAATATTTGCTTTTTTTTTATGCCTCTTAATCGTGACTGTTGTTTGTGGAGTCAGACTATTAAATGATGTGGATCGGGTTGCGCACCGCAACAAAGATATTGAGGATCGGGTTGCACGCCGCAACAATAATATGTGAGGATCGGGTTGCGCGCCGCAACAATGATACATGATAAATGATGTGGGTCGGGTTGCACGCCGCAACAGTGGTATTTGTGGATCGGGTTGCACGCCGCAACAGTGGTATTTGTGGATCGGGTTGCACGCTGCAACAATGGTAAATTGTGGACCGGGTTGCACGCCGCAACAGTTATTGATACCATGTGTTTATATTGAGTATTGTTTTCCTTGTTCATTGTGAATCTAAGCTGCTTTAGTTTGTTACTCGGAATTACTGTTACTATTGTTATCTCCCCACAGCATGTTTCCCCCTCCCATATTGCTAGTTGTTTGGTATTTTATTTCCGTTGTATATTTATAACTGCACAGGTTTATGTGGTGTCCGGTCTAGCCTCGTCACTACTTCGCCGGGGTTAGGCTAGACACTTACCAGCACATGGGGTCGGTTGTGCTGATGCTACGCTTCTGTGCATTTTTGCATAGGTCCAGGTTCTGAGGAGCAGCAACAGCATTAGTATGGGAGCATGCTTTCGTTATCACGAGATCGAGGTAGCCTTGCAGGCGTCCGCAGGCTCGGCGCCTCTTCTTTATGTTCTCTTTTAGACTGTTGCCTCCTTGTCTCGAGACAGACAACTTCTATGTTTCTTTCAGACCTTTGTATTTAGTATATTCTTAGTGGTTCGTGAGTGATGTGATACCAAATCTTGGGTAGAGGCTATTATTAACTGTTCCGCGTTTTGATTCAGATTTATAAATCAGACTTCCGCTATTATTCTTAGTAAATTTCATGTTCTATATTGATGCTATAAATTGTTAAAATAATTGTTTAGTGATGAAAAGGTAAATAAGTTGGCTTGCCTAGCTACCACGAGTAGGCGCCATCACGATCCCGATGGTGGGAAATCCGGGTCGTGACAAAAGGTGAAGTCATAAGATATAAAGCACGACTTATGGCACAAGGGTTTTCGCAAAGGCCTGGCATTGATTATATGAAGACATATTCTCCTATGTTAGATGTAATTACCTTCAGGTATTTAATAAATCTGGCAGTCCATGAAAATCTTGATATGCAGTTGATGGATGATATGGCTCACTGGGCAATGAAATTTTTATGAAAATCCCTGAAGGATTTAAAGTTCCTGAAGCACATAAAAGTTCAAGAGAAACTTGTTCAATAAAGCTTCAAAAATCCTTATACGGATTGAAGCAATCAGGGAGGATGTGGTACAATCGTCTTAGCGAGTATTTGCTAAAGGAAGGGTACAAAAATGACCCTATTTGCCCTTGTGTCTTTATTAAGAGGGCTGGATCTGAATTTGTCATCATAGCTGTGTATGTTGATGACTTGAATATCATTGGCACTTCTAAAGAGCTTCCAAAGGCTGTAGAGTGTTTGAAGAAAGAATTTGAAATGAAAGATCTTAGTAAGACAAAATTCTGTCTTGGCCTACAAATTGAGCATGTACCAAATGGAATTTTTGTCCATCAATCAACATACACTGAAAAGGTTTTAAAGTGATTTTACATGGATAATGCACATCCATTGAGTACCCCAATGGTTGTGAGATCGCTTGATATAAATAAAGATCCATTTCGGCCTCAAGAAAATGATGAAGAGCTCGTTGGTGATGAAACTCCATATCTTAGTGCAATTGGGGCACTGATGTATCTTGCCAATAATACCCGACCAAATATTATTTTTGCAGTAATCTTATTAGCAAGATTCAGCTCCTCCCCAACAAGAAGACATTGGAATGATGTTAAGCATATATTTAGATATCTTCGGGGAACTATAGATATGAGATTGTTTTATTCTAATGAATTCAAGTCAGAAATGATTAACTATGCCGATGTAGGTTATTTGTCTGATCCACATAAAGCCCGATCTCAAACAGGCTATTTGTTTACATATGGAGGTACATCTATATCATGGCGTTCAATGAAACAAACAATAGCTGCTACATCTTCAAATCATGCTGAGATAATAGCCATTCATGAATCTAGTCGGGAATGTGTTTGGTTGAGATCAATGACTCAGCATATTCAGGAAATGTGTGGTTTTCTTATGAAAAAAGATAATCCGACTACACTATATGAAGACAATGCTACTTGCATCGCTCAACTGAAAGGAGGATACATCAAAGGAGACAGAACAAAGCACATTTCACCAAAGTTCTTTTTCACGCATGATCTTCAACAAAATGGTGAAATTAATGTTCAACAGATTCGTTCATGTGAAAATTTAGCTGATCTGTTCACTAAGGCATTACCAAGATCAACATATGAGAAGTTGAGACAGAAAATCGGAATGCGGCGTCTTCGAGAAATAAAGTGAGGTTTTCATGAGGGGGAGTAAGATACGCGCTGTACTCTTTTTCCCTTAGCCTAGGTTTTATCCCACTGGATTTTCCTGGTAAGGTTTTTAACGAGGCAGCAAATAAAGCGAATACAGATATGTGTACTCTTTTTCCTTCACTAAGATTTTTTCCCACAGGATTTTTTTTCTTAGTAAGGTTTTAACGACGCATATTATCTATTTTTGGACATCCAAGGGGGAGTGTTGTAAAACCTATAGTTAATATAGATGTCCACTACTCCCACTATTTTCACCCATGATGTAAATAACCTCCCACTACTCATCACTATTATGATTGTAACTCCCACACCTCCATAACCTCTCCCCATGATCTTCCCCCATGATCTCAATTGTTAATGTCATGTTTAAGACAATCATTTTGTAACCTTCATATGTAATAGTATAAATAGAGGCATGAAATGTGAGATGGAACACAGTTGAACACTTGATGAAATAAGAAAGTTTATCTCTTCTTCTCTTATTCTACTTATTTACTTGTTTTATATTGTTACTTTGAGCTACATTTCTTAACAATTTTAACGTATTTGTGTCTAATACTTAAACTACTAAGTATAGATTAAATGGAAGAGTCCAAATAGGCTGCCGTGTGAATTTTTTAGGGAAAATGATATTTTATGGTCGCTCTCAAAATAATAGTCAAAAAATATTTTTTTTTGTATATATATATATATATATATATATATATATATATATATATATATATATATATATACAAAAATTATATAAATTTTATATACTTTTTAGGCTATTGAATATAAATAGTTTCTGGCGCAAGTTAAAAGTGAATAAAGCACAAGTTTTTACGTGCCAAAGCCTATCTAGGAACCATGGGAATAGTAAGGGATCTGTATACAAATAGCTCGTGAAATTTGTTATTTATTTTTATTAGTTGGTATACATAGGTTATATATTAAGTATATATAATTATGCACATATTATATATATTGCTAGTTATTTTTAGTTTAATCAATTGAATGAGTAGCTATTTGGGTTAATTCTTCAAATAGAGGGGTTATTTATGCAAAATAAAGGTTATTACACGCGAAAGGGGCCACGGGAAGGAAATTTCAAACAAAAATGAAAAGCTAAAGAAAGGGTAGAGTTGCCGACGAAATTCATACACAGGCCAACAAAATTTGCCTTCTGCCATACCCTTTCTCGCCATTGACGCACCTGTAAGAAAGCTTTCCATTTTCCTTAGTTTTCTCTTCTCTCTTCGTTGCTTGCTTGTCATTTATGTACCAAAATAATTATTTCTTGTTTCAAATAAAAGTTAGAATTTGGATAATTAAATAGAGAAATTGGCACTGGGGTTTTGAATTGGCGGACCTTATAATTTCTGATAATAGAGTTGATTAACATTATAAATGAGTTTTAATTGTGGAATCAATTCAATTGGTGTATTTTAGTTGTTTGAGTGATGATGAGTTAGTACTGGAGGCTTAAGTGTGGTTGATTTTGGGGTTTTTGGTTGATCCTTGTACCCTATGACTCGAATTGATGGATTATCTTGTGTTATTGTTAGATTAACAAAATACTACAGGATGACATAGGAGATGGTGTTTGAGGCTCGGGTGCCATAGTTGTAGCTTGAGGTGAGTGGGAACCCTCTCTATTTCTAGTATTTGTTTATATGCTCCTATTTGTTGAGTACTATGTGTAATTGACTACTTGTACATGAGATTTTATGTGAATTACTCGTTCTTACTTGTGACCTGTTGTGAATTACGTTGTATCATAGTAGCGTGAGACACTACATAGACGATAAATTCTATATATGACGAAATATGTGTTAGAAAGTATTAGATTCTATATATGGCTAAGGCGTTGAGCCTGTAGTTGTAGTACAAGGAGAGTGTGTAATTGAACTAAAACACAGACATATTGAAGTTAATGGAAAACATGTCCATTGCAGTTCCAAGATTCACCAGAACACCTGATCAGAGTCATTGAATATTCTCTTCTATCAAATCGCTCTACCATTATCTGATTTGTTCTCAAATCGCTCTAATATTATCTGATTTGTTCTTTTGCACAGTGGAAGAAGTAAAAATGAAGTTAATACTATGTAAGATGATGTTAGAGGCTTACTAATATTAAAACCATCATAATCCCTTTCTACACCAATATACAAATCAAAAGCTAGAAAAGAGAAAACATCAATGTCCTGCACTTAGATCAACAGCCAACTCAATGACGCTCTCCTGAGTACTAACTGCTACATTCTCTTCATGTAAAGGAGGAGTTCCTACCTCTCCTGGAAAATGAAAACTCTGCTCTGTATAACTAGAAATGCTTGGACTTGGCGGTCCATTCGTTCGTGGGGAAGATAGCATTGACAAGTTATCATGTGGACTTTGTGAACAATCCATACGTGCTGAATCTCTCATTGCATCTCTTAGTTCACTCTTCTTGAAAGTATGGCAGCTATAGTCTTTTCTGTCGAACTTTCTAGCCAAGATTCTGACTCTTTCACGGAATGAAAGATTAGTTCGTTTTATGATGTGCCAATACTCATGCATGAATTTTGTCAGAAAGATGAGGAGAGCCAAAATTGCAGCAACCGCAGCTATGACAAAGAGTCCCCAGAAGCTAGCTAGGCCAAGACTGTTGGAGGAAAGTGAAGTGCTAGAATCTGAACAAGTAGATTCCCCAAACCACGCTTTCTCTATTTGTACCATCTTTTCACTTTCTGTCACACTTAAAACTGCTCTTGAAACATCAGGTACTAGCGGAGATCCCATTGGGAAGACCTAGATGAAAATCACAAGAATGATGAAATCATAATATTACCGCCTTATATTGCCTATGCATGTCATTCTTGTACTAAACAACAACAAAAATATTGGGAAAAAGAGGAGTTACTTACAAAGCCAAAGCCATCAGCCTTATATGTAGGTCCAACGGTGGTAAATTTCGAGCAATGATTTGCAAGGACAAGCTTCACATAAGGAATCTCATCAAAAACAGCAGCAACACCACCACTCGCACTACCTTTAGAGAGTAAATCAACACATTCCTCAGGACTGCTATATTCTTTAAGCCTGTCCTCATCAAAGTTCATTTTTTTTAGAAGTCCAGGTACAAAAGAACCCTGTAGGTAGCCCACATACTCCTTATTCTTCTGAAGTTCTTTGATATCTCTAACAGTTGGCTGGAGTTTTTCAACTGTTAACATTGATGTAAGACTTGCCGTGTAGCTTGACGTCAATATTAGTACTACTAGGAACCAGATAACTAACACAAACCTAGCCAAGTTGCTTACTATCTTCTCCTCTGCCATTATCAAGAATCAAAAAGGAGAAAATTCAGATTAGAAGTTTGAATCATATCCTATATAAAAATAAAAATAAAAAGCAGTGGCTAATTCAGATTGAAGTATGTGCTCTATATATGTATAGGGAGAGTAGTTAGATACTCCTCAATATTCCCAATTTGTATATATTCCTCTATTTCATTTAAACAATAGTATTTGACTGGATACGAAGTTTAAGTAATAAAGAAAGACTTTTGGCATATATTAAAAGTGTCAACTTGTGGTCTTAAAGACTTAAACATACCATGACATCTGTATGATTGAAAGACCATGTCACTAAAGGTAAAATGAGAAGTTTAAGCTAAAGGAATTTCAAATATAGAAAGGTACCATTATCATTGAAACAGACTTTAAGGAACAGGCTAAAAAGAAAAGAGGAATATATAAAACGGAACGAGAAAGTGTTGAGGAGGAGGGGAAAAAATTACTTTGTGCAAAAACCATAGTTGAGAAGGCAAACCAAAAGATCATGCCAACTTGGTGAGAAGGAGGTCCTCTAAAGTCTTCATTAACTCTATGTTCAAGTAGCCAAATGACAAAACCAATGAAAACAAAAGAACAGAAGCTTGTTAACCACAACTCCCGAGTCAATGGCTTCAAGAATACCCATGCACTATCGCCGTTATCATCTTTGATTGGCACCATCATTGTGACACCAGATTCTGTGTATGGTAATGTGAAATCAACATATTGCGATCTATTCGAGACAATGGTAGTGTCCCCTGCAACAGCATCAAAGGTCTGCTCTTTGGTTAATACTAGCAACAATTTTTAGAATCAAATAGAGGTATATATATGCAAGAATTGTATATATCTTAACATAAAAGATGGAGTGCAAGCTCTTTAGTGGAGTAACAAAAGAAACCTTAAAAATGAGGAAGGAGCCCCATTTTTTCTCTAGCGCGCTCTAAAGTAGAGTAGGCTGATGGGACGACATGCACATTAGAGAAATATAATGGATCTCACATTCAAGTCCTTGGCTTTCCAAGCACTTCATATCTTTTTCGGGGTGTCTGAAGATTCAATCATTTTTTGTATGATATCTCTTGCAGTGCCCTTTCTGAGTGAGTTTTGAAGATAAAAATGTAATAAAGAGAAAGAGGGAAACTAAGAGATTTACCCCAAGAAATACTTGGTAAATAAGATCGTCATAACTTTCAGTAGCCTTTCCCGGAGCTGCAAATGGAACATATTCATAAGGAACATAATATGATAATGCTGCCATTACTGCATCAAAAACATCAATGCAGTAACCAGTTACTGTTGTTGTGTTAGTAGTAAAATCTCTTGTAACTTTCACAAATTCACTGAAACCATCTTTCACCGGAACTCCAATCCTCAATTTCTTCCCATTTGTTGGAATCACCCAACCTCTAGGAACAGAAGTAGTGTCACCAGGCCATATAATAGTGCCAAAAATAGCCTTAGAAATTGAATATACATTGTTTGTATTTCTCAAATTCAATTCTTTAACAATCCCATTTTCTCTTGTCCAAAAACCAATTCCTTTTGCACCATTACCAAACACATTAATTATCTGATAAGCTGGTGACTGCAATTGCCCATCAACAATTTGAAAGTCTCCACTAAGGCCTTTGAATGTAGTGTTTAGTATAGCTTGAAGAAGCTTTGGACCATCCTTAGAAACTCCAAAAGCTTCAAGTTCTGTTGCATTTCCTGAAAATTTTGGAGGTGGCAAAATCAATTCATTTTTTTTAACCTGCCCAAATCCGTCCAAGTTTAAACGGGTTGGATTATGACCCATTTGTTGGCTTGATCGAACTGTTTGAACCGTTAAACCCAAAATGGCCCATCAAACTATTATGCCAAAACAGGTTAAATAGAGTAACCTAACCTAAAGATACAAATAATTTTTGAAGATTCAGAACTATGTAAAATATGAAGAACTTAAGCTAATAATTTAAGAAAAATACTTATAACTTTCACATTTTCTTCGAACAGCAAAATGAAAAAGAACGGGAGGTTGGACAATAGTGGACAGGTTGGATTATATGATCTGTTATATGATTCATCTTGACTCAATTCATTTTAACCCAAGAAAACCTTGGTCCAAATAGGGTCATGATCCGATATATTGATTTGACTGTCCAATTTGACCCAAACCGTCCATTTTCTATTTGTACCTGAAATGTTTGGTTTCTGAAAAGGTGCTCCAGTGATTCTTGATTTCTCCACTGCCGTGGCTAGTACAATGGCTGAATCATAAGCCCATAGTCCAAACACATTCAATTGTGCATTAAGAATTGTCGGATTTTCTTGTTGAAACTTCAGTTTCCATCTAGTAGTGAAATTTTCGAGCTGTTTAGTTCTTGGAACATAAGGTTTTACTCCAATAACTCCTTGCATGGATTCAATAACTGAAGAATCCATAGAGTTGAGTTGATTTGCCATAGCATCTGTAATAATCCAAACATACCCTTCACTCATCATTCCAAGTTCTTTGGCCTTAGTAAAAAGTTTGGTACCAAGTGAAGTTGTCATATGCACAACAAAAACCCGAGTTTGCATACTCATTAACTTGGAAAGTTCATATTTTATATGATCATCAGTAGCGAATTCAGGAATAACACTTCGATAAGGGATACGTGCATTAATTTTTTCTAATGCATCTGCCAAGAATGGTATAATTCCTTCTCCAAATTGATTATCGACGTATATAGGGACGACTTCTCTCCATCCAAAAGATTGGATAATGGAACTAATGGTATTCACTTGAGAGGAATCATTTTGAGTGGCACGAATGAAGTATGGATTACGATATGATGAGAGGGAAGGACTTGTAGCAGAAAATGAGATGATGGGAACTTGAGATTTCTCTCCTAAACCAATTATGAAATCAGCTTGCATTGATGATGTTGGCCCTATTATGGCTTCTACTTCAACATTCTTCAATAGGTCAAGTGCTGCATTTACAAAGAATGCAAGAACCAATAAAAGTAGAGTTCAACTTTTATACAATAACAAATCATGAAAGAAAATATTTTAGTTAATATACAAAACATGGTAAATGACATATTATAGAAGGTAAACTTATACTGATAGATGTAATTTATTCACACTATTGGTATTTATAATCAGAATTTTTGCATTATTAGGGCTCATAAAAGGTAACTACCAGTAATTATCCATACTAACTGAAGTTACTAATCTGGAAAATAAACAGATAATCTATTACAACAGTTAAATTACATTAATATTATATAAAAAATTACCTTGCCAGTGTATGTAAGTTAAGTCCAATAAAAGTATACCTCTGAGTAGTAGATTTCAAAGAAGATCAAAATAAAGAAGAGAAACTTGTGTATTCCAAAAAATTAATCGAGGTGCGTACAAATTGACCCTAACACCACAATGATATAAAATAAAAAAAAGTTGTTGGGTTGTATTATTGTACTAGTATAGTATACTTAGCTAGCAAGATTCACCATGGGAATCTACAAAGACCTGTTTGGCTGTTTCTGGTTAGCTACAATATGATGTATTTTATTTGTTACTATACCATATATCAGTCTGTCTAATTAGTTCATACATGTATCTGCATGTTTAAGGAACTGTTCTTGCCATGTCACCAACCTGTTTTTCATATCTAGCTACTATTTTTTTTTTGTTGACCACGTTCAGGAATCCGACTAATTCGGATTCGTATTGGGTAAGGTCTCAGGGGGAAGTGCTTTGTTTTTTTTTTTTTTTTTCTGTTCTCAATTCCCGAATCCGGGACCTTTTAATCAAGGGTGAAGGGGTCAAGAATTATATCCATCCCACCACAATTTTTTACGGCCATTATCTTAGGATTAGTTACCTCCTATAGCAAAGGTTGATACCTTATTTATTTTAAATAAATACCCTTTTAAAAAATTATATTCCAAAGCTACCTTTTGATTTTTATAGCCAAATATCTATTTATGGTTACCTCCTATCCTTAAGCCATAAAATACTCTTTCTATTATTTTTCTCTCTCATTAGAGAACCACAAGTCCCGATCACGAAGAAAGATGGACGAAAAAGATTATTGAAAACCCAGCACTTTTTTCTTCTATTTCATTGATCTCTCCCTAATTCAATTTCTCATGTTGCTGAAATTCCGAAAATGTTGATGGTAGAACCCGCCGTCGCCGTCGCCGTCGCCGCCGTCCGTTTCTCTCACCACCTCCATTGCTGCTTTTCTTCATCTAGCAAATTCGCAATTACTAACAAAAGAAGACAATCTGCTGTTGAAAATAAGGAATTTCTTTCGTTTCAAACTTTGAGAGTTTCGAGTCAGAATCGCGGCACTCTTGACTAGATGACATTAGGGTTATTCTTGAACAAAGACGATAGAGTTTGGGGCTGAGCAACTTGAAGAGTCTGTTACCTTTTTTTTCGTTGTATTTCAATGTATCTCGCTGTATTCTATGTGTTTCATTGTATTCATTGTCTTCTTTTTTCAGAGTATTTCAATGTATCTCGCTGTATTCCATATATTTCATTGTATTCA